CCCAGCATTGTGTTTCCGATGCACCTCCTGTAGTTTAACATTCTGGAGGTAATCATCCAAATAACTATGATTTTTATTTTTCAAAATACTAATCTGACATCTCATTTTTAAACATTACGCTAGGAGTGAAAATAACTATGTAAAAGAAAATCAAATTACAGAACAGATATTAGAAAAGATTGTTTTGTGCCTGTGGCTGACGGCCACTAACACTGCGAAGGCTGCACAACAGCGTAGAGACAAATAACAGATTGTGAGATTAGACCCGGGAACAGTCATTGCTTTCCAAATCCTGTTCTTGCGTGTGTACTTCACAGGTGCTGCGATGGGCAGTGTGTGGCATGGGGTGGTGGAATGAGTTTGGAAAGACCGCATCTCGTCTCGGCTGTCTCTTGGGTCCCTGAGCTGGGAGCTTGTGCTGCCGCCCGTGTGTAGGGGCCCCAGCATGGGCTGGTGCTTGCAGAGATGCACCCAAATCATAGAATCACAGAATCATAGAATCATTACGGTTGGAAGAGACCTCAAAGATCATCAGGTCCAACCATATACCCGATGCCACCATGCCCGCTAAACCATGTCTTGAAGCGCCACATCTAAACGTTTTTTGAACACCTCCAGGGATGGTGACTCCACCACCCCCCTGGGGAGCCCGTTCCAATGCCTAACGACTCTAACGGTGAAGAAGTTCTTCCTAATGTCCAGCCTGAACCTCCCCTGGCGCAACTTGAGACCATTAAATAACGGTGTTATTCCTCCCTGCTGCTGCGGTTGAAGACAAGACTCTTGATGAGATTTGTCTGTAGTTTCTGCTGTCCATTGATCAAATTCTTGGCCTCACTCAAGTTACTTGGAACGATCAGAGGTTACATCTATGTTAGCAAGTAGCTCAGCCCAGCAGGAGCAGATCAGCAGATAAAACTTTGGTGCCACGTTCTCTCTATCTACTCCACCTACAGTTCACAGTTTTTGCTTTGAACTAGATTTATCGTGGGCCTCTGGACCAAATGTTCCCAGTACTCAGCTGGTACAAAGCCATCCAAAAAGACCGGTTATTATTTCACACCCTTATGCCCCATTAGGAAGCGGAGCACAGCTGGTGCGCATCTGGAGCAGAGCTGCTGGTTTAACCTTAACTTGCATGCACACCAGTCCCACCCTACAGCCTAAGATGGCACGTGAGAGCTGGGGGAGTTGCTTCAAAATCTCGGTATATATAAAAATTCCATACATATAGGAACCAAAACGCTGTGGTGGGTGCAGCTGGAGGCTGGCAAAATGAGGATTCCCCAGCACGGAGCCACGTTAACGCTGGTTGGGGGTAAAAGAGAAAAAAAAAAAACCCAGTGGCCTTAGTAGGACTGGGCCAGAGCTCAGCCAGCAGGAGTGAAAGCAGCTCTGCCGCTGCCCTGTCCGAAATGGGGGATGTCCTCACAACAAGAGAAGCATCAACAGATGTAATGACAGCTGAAATTCCTTCCTCTCATTGCTGTGGATTTTGTCCGTCGTTGGCACACGCTGTTGAAAATGTAATATAAAAAGTTTATCTGTCAATATGAGTTTCACCGCTGTGTGGCCCCTGGCATGCCCCAGTCATGTCCAGACCTTCTGGTGGGACGAAAGGTGAGGCGCAGCTTGCAGGCGTTATTTCTGGTCCTATGGGCCCAGGGCGGTGACAGAGGGGGGACCGGGACCTGCAGTGACACCATGGCCCTGGGAGGCCCGAGCACACTTGAGAACATTTGAGATAAGATTCCAGGCTTGAGACTGAAGAATTTTTCCACCAGTTTACTGAGTGTGACTTGCCATTTAAAACCAATAGAGGACAGGATGAATCGGCATTAAACGTATACTGTGTTGAGGTTAATAGTTTTGCAGCATCTACTTGGGTTAGACTCTATTCCGGGCTTTTCGGAAGTGCTTTATACCTTGCTTTCTAAACATTATTGAAAAGTAAATGGTAGTGTTCTTTCTGGTCACTATGGAGGAACCTCCCAACGTAAGTCTACAACTAAGCTAGGAGACGTTTTTTCTATAATACAGACTAAATACAGGATTTCCTTTAAATCTGTAGGTGAGCAGAGTCGCACAGGTTTGCAGTATGCTTCCCAGCTGGCCGCGGTGTCCCACATCCCGCTCCTGGTTAGGGAGGGCTCTTCTCCCACCTCTTCCTTCTCTCTGATGTAAGCCCACCTCCTCCTCCTCTAAACCGGCTCACACACCGCACGCTCCTTGGAACAGGGACGGGTTTTATCTTCGCGTCTTGATGACGGCTGACCGCACAGTCATTTATAAACAGATCCATTTTCATCTTGTTTTAGCCCGTAGAATTAGCTTTACAAAGGAGGTGTGGGGGTGTTCTTGCTATTTACTAGATGTTTGACAAATGTGCTACTTACTACCTTGTAACCAGATTAAAAAGTGCAGTGGAACGTAAGCATAAGTGGTGGTACGCAATGTGATTATGTCAGCAAATGATCCCTAGAATTGGTTATTTTGCTCTACCTGATCTTGGTCCTGGTTTTGCTTATATGAAAAAAATGTAACCTGTATAAACTTTTTCATAGGAGGAGTAACAAATACTGCACAGTATCAAAACAGGCTCATGGTCTATGATCCTAAGCAGGTGGGTACCTGTGTTGTATGTGTTTTTTTTTCCTCATATGTTTTGCTTCAAACAGGTCTCTTAGCAAATAGGTACAATGATTTTGTAAGGCTAAAATTGCTGACCTTTTGAATTAGTGGCGTTTTAAGTTAACTTTGTACTGATGTGTGAGTTGTAACAGAGTAATGGAGACCCTGGCTTTTTATTACGTTTTTTAAGCCTGTAGGTGTTAGAAACATCTTAGATTAAATACAGAAATGTGCTTTAAATCCCCTGTATTTATCAGTATTTATTTTGCATGTTTTTTTTTTTTTTTTTTTTTTTGTAATTCAGCAGCCCTGGGCAACATAAACTCAAAGTCAGTGTCACAAAACTGCTCCTTGTCATTCTGCTTTGAATTGCATGTAGGGCTTTTGGTTTTCTGCAGACTTCCAGAACTATGCTACCTGGCCATGACTTACTCTGCTGACTGCAAGGGTGCCTATCATTTCATTACTCGAGCACCTAAAATATCTTTTAGGGATTATTTCATACATTATGTATGTGTTTTGATTAGGTTAGCATGGCTCAGTAACCATTTCGGAGGGTTAGGGCATGGTTATGCCCTCTTGCTTGTATTAAGAATTAAAAGTCCTAAGCTTGCAATCAGAGTTGCATAGCCTGATTTACACCCACGTGGAAGAGCATCGACTTTTCTGATTGTAGGACAGGGGCTTTGATTGCTGTGTTTGGAACCAAATTGTGCCAGGAGATGCTTCTACGTGGTTCCCACTGACTTTTTAAAGCGTAGCACATGCGGGTCCTGAAGCAGAAAGCAGGCAATGACACGCCTGCCTCTTCCTTTCTGAGGTGCGGTTTTATGCATCGATTGTGCAAAGGCTGATGCTGTCCTAAATCCAAGTTGTAATTACAGGCAGCAACCTTATTTTACTTATCAGAGGGGACCCATATTTAGATGCTGTGTCTCCGTTGCATATCTTCCGCTTTGAATCTTTACTCGCTGACCTGAAAGTTGCCCCCCAAAATACCAGTGGCAGGGCTACTTCAGCGTGCCGTGCTGACGGCCCGGCGTGTAAAGAGTTACAGAGGAATTGTGCGCTCGCATTCTTCAAATGAGGTCCGCTTCGTGTTTGTACACACAAGCTCTTTTTAAAAATTCTGCTGGCATATTGTTTACGGTGGGTACTGGAAACCATCACATCTGCTTGCATCTCGCACAGAATCTCAATAACTCTATCATTCAGCACCAGCGCTTGCTTCTGCACGAGGCCTTTGTGGCGAGTCGATAATGCCTGCCATCTGCCACGGAGCACACAGCTACCTGCCAACAAGCCGGCTGGGGTGACCTCTGCTTCCCCACCACTCATTAGTATTCACACGCCGCCTTATTAGAAATGACCCCACCAGGCCCCTCTGTTTCTTTGCCTTTGCGGTGCTTTGCGGCTCACCTGGCAGGCACTGCAGCCGAGGAAGCTAAAGATATAATCAGGGGATGCAGGCAGGCTTTGCAAAGCAGATGGCGTCTATAGTCTGGTGTTAAGAGACCGGACTGCTAATGCAAACATTAATGCCTAATATTCAACTATTACACATTGAAATGTATGGCTATATATTGCGGAGGTTAAAAGGCGGTAGTGTTAGAGGCTCTTGAGTTACCGCGAGCGGTAGCACATGTAACGCAAAGAATTTCCTCACGGATTTTAACTTCCTCCACTTAAATAAATTAATCTCATCCATTGCCAGGTTGTTTGATTTGGTAAGTGTAGCAGGAGCAATCGTTTTTCTTAGGTTTAAAAACCTGTGCTTTAATTCCTCTTCTTCCGTGTCCTCTTGCCCCTCCCCTGAAGAGGTAGAACTCTTGAATATTGTTAACCAGGGAGAAAAATATGCAAAAAGACGTTACTTTGTAAGTGCCCATAAATAAATGGTTAGCATTAAACCAAATACGTGAATCATTTGAGAAGATTCTTTAGGAAATTATTTTTCCCAGTTGCCTCGTTCCCCAAGGATAAGATCAAATAAGCTTCTGAATAACGAAAGGTAGAAGAATCTCTCTTCTCTCATAACAGAGCTCATTGGTACAGATAATTTTAGTGCTGTATACAAAGGAGACATCTAATAGTCTTGCTTAAGGAGGATTTGCTACTGAATTATAAAGAAGACAAAAAGCTTTGAAACCTGATGGGCTAAACAGTAAAAATACAGAGCAAGAAATACTATTAAATTAATGAATTTAAATGTGAGAACTGTAAACCACGTGCTGAAAGTCCAGTATGTCTAGTCAGTGTGATAACCAACACGCATGTTTAACCTAGGAGCAACACAAGCATATACATTTGTGATTTCTGGCCACGGGTAAGGAGAACACCAGTAAGATGCTACTATTGTTGTACTACTAATACGGGTATGTCCTTGGGCAGTGCTGAGACAAGTTCTCGCTCGCTCTCTTTCCAGAATAAGTGGTTAAGCCGTAGCCCGATGTTGCAGAGGAGAGTGTATCACTCCATGGCTGCCGTCCAAAGGAAACTTTACGTGTTAGGTGGGAACGATCTCGACTACAACAACGATCGGATCCTGGTTCGGCACATAGACTCCTACAGCATAGATGCTGACCAATGGACGCGTTGCAGCTTCAACATGTTGACAGGCAAGTGTTGTACACCAAAAGGGGAAACTCACTGCTATTAAAATAAAACATCAATTCTTTTCCCTTTAGATGCCTTTAGTATGTGGAACTCCATGGCTCTGCTGCAATTGCTTCGAATTTAGGGACCATCGTCAGCCAACGAGGCACTTTTGATTACTGTGCTGGCATTCACGTTCTACAAAACATTTCTTTGAGCACATCATAGACTAAATTTTTAAGAAGGTGCACATTAATTTAATTAAGCAATCAAAAATAATTTGTCATAGTATTGCTAGTATTTGGTTTTGATTCTCTAAAAGCTTGCCTGCAGTGATAGATTTAACTCCCTGCTTGAGTGTACAACAGGCAGATGTGTCTCTACCATGATAACATCGTGGCATTATAATGGCATTATAAGGCAAAGCCTTTACTGAAAGCCATTAACCATCAGTTACTTCTAAACAGTATCTTCTTAATAAATTACCAGAAAGGAAGTGTCTTTATTGGAATTTTGTCCCGTCAGGGATGAGATGAGCAGCTCAGTTGGCTACAGGATCTGTCATTAGGAAGAACTGTTACAGCAGCAGCTCACAAAGCCCTGCAACTCCCTGTCCCTGCCACCCGGTCCACCAAACGTCACCGCCACCTGGTACAATTCCCAGAGGTTCTACCCCCTCGAATCCCCGGGAGAGACAGGCATGTGACACGTTCTCAGAGTAGCACCAACAGTAACTTTGCAGAAAAGGATGGGTTTCCAGGACAGGACAGCATTTAATGTTGGGGCTGTTCTCTTGTGCATCAGACTTGGAGCTCAATTAGGAACAGTACTGGCTGCTGAAAAAGTTTCAGTGCAGGCTGCTATAGGAATCCTAGAACTAGTTAAGTCTAGTTAAGCTCTGTGGTGCTGCGTTCAAACTAGAAGCTCAGGATAGCTAGAAATATGTCGGAGAACTGCACGTCGGACAAATACGACAGTCACCTTATGTCATTTTTCTCCTAGTAGGTTTAAAAGCTGCTCTAGTGGCAACTTCGTTCTTTAAGATATTGCACTGGGTTTCTTAATCTCTGGGATGTGGAGAAGGGTTGCTTGGTTTCTGAGTCAGGTCATTGGAGTACTTCATGGACACTGGGGAGAGAGGCACAGATCAAAAAGGAGTTGCGCATTGTCAAACAGAAGTAGATCTTCGTATCCCTTTTGCTCTCCAGTTCGTTATTGTATTTTACTATTGGGAGGAACTGACAGCTTTTGAGAAGGACATCATCTGATTTGCAACTGCAGAAGCGCTAGCACTGCAGGCACCCTCGTTCTGGAGCTGACGTTGTACCACTAAAAGCTGTGAGATAGTAGCCTCTCCTCAGATACGACCTGGTGGGTTGTTTCCACAACCTGCACCTTAAGAAGCCATCTAAGCCTCTCTTTGCGTCTCTGCAACTGGTGGTAAATGTGCCTGTTGCACTGTGCAGCGCAGGTTTTTTTGAGGTTGTATTTATCCTTCAAAACTTCAGACTTGTTCAGGAGACCACTGCTACGGGGATGAGCTCACCCAGCAGCTTCTGCCAGTTTTCACCGTACCTGTACCTGGAGGACCAGGGGGGTGACCAGGTGTGAGCAGAACGTGAGGGACGTTCAGCTCTCTTGGCCCACGTGTCTATTGGGATGTCCGTGTGCGACAGTAGCCGAGAGGCAGGGGGGGGGCTTGCCTATCACCTGTGAAATACAGGCGTCCAAAAACCTGCGCCATTGAGGAGACAGCAGATGGTCCCTTGCCCAGCCTCCGTGTATGGCTCATCAGGGCTGTCTCTCCGGGCAGCACCGTACCGGGCTCCTGCGGAGAGCAAAGAACAGCCCGTGTGCTTCGCCTGCACTCTTACATGTTGTGAATTCTGAAACAGCCAAGTTACTGCCAGGTGCATTTGCATCCTATTACAGAACTCCTAACATTCGGTGTTCAAAGGGTTAATTAAACACCGAAAGTGATTGCTATTTCCTTTTTTGCTTTAGGTCAAAATGAGTCTGGAGTTGCTGTCCACAACGGCAGGATATATTTAGTTGGCGGCTATTCGATTTGGACAAATGAGCCTTTGGCATGTATCCAGGTGAGTGATTTAGGTTTCTTTTAAAGTCTTTTTCCAATAATTGTGCAAGGATAGGTTTTGCAGAGGTTACTCAAAAAGGAAAATGCATGTGAAGTAGAGAGATTAAGGATGTTTCTTATGCAGCCACCGAACCTGCATAAACACAGAGAGGAAATACTGTGGATATTAAAAGTATTTCCAGATGAGCCAACAGATGCAATTCTTCTAAGATATTCTAGTAAAACAGGGTTGAGGAGTCTCCCCTTTGGCAAGGTTTGGGTAAAATAACGGGTATATATTCTCAGGTTACACAGTCAAGTTCAAAAGTAAAAGGGTTGCAGAAATGGATGATGGGGCATGGGCTAACAAGTTTTCAGCCCATCTTGTGATTTTTATTTTTTTTTTTTTCCCCTCCAAGTCGTCTTTCTGAAGAGCAGCCAGAGTTAACGAGTTGTTCTTTGACAAGGTTCAGTCAGCCTGCAACCTGCCCTAGCGCTTACTGCTTCAAAGCTTGAATGGAAGCCTTTTTGATCCCTGCTGTAGGCAATAGGTTGTCCAACAAACTCCACTGCTCTCTCATCTTGTATAAGAGCAGCTTGCCTGCAGATCCGTAGCTTTCAGGTATTCCTGTATAGAAATTAGGAATTTTATCTTTCTGCATGTTTCCGAGTGAAGCAAAACTGCATCACAGGCATCGCTTTGTGACCAGCTGGGCAGATACAAACAGAAATTCTTGTTTACATCTCAGTTCCTGCACTTTTGCTGATAAACAACCTTTTCATTGGCTTCCAACTTTTTGGATTTTAGGATTTCACCTCCAAACTGTCCCATAAAACTAGAAGTTAGACTTGGCATAAGAAGGGAATGTGACTTAGAACGAAAAGGGAAGGTATTAGATGTCAAGCTGCTGGTCTTACAGTGAACACTTATTAGCAGGAGTTAGTAAAGAAAAGACCATGCAAGAGAAGCAGTTAAAACCATGTTCTGGTCATAGTATAATTGTGTTTTACTAAGTCATTGGATACCAGACCCAACAATTGTTACTGGAAAAAGTCATTCAAACTGGCTTGGATAACACTAGCTGCCGTACAGTGCTTCAGATGGACTAATAGCACAATATCAAGGCGGTGGCCGTACTCCACCAACACGCTCGTTTATAAGCAGCAGGTACTTTGCAGTATTGCCCCTGGGTTTAAATGCTGCTTAGTGACAAGTGACAATGATCCTGGGATCTTGCTTTCTTAAATGGACATTTGTCCACATCCCCAAACTGGTCGTGAACTGGCAGCGTGCCCGAGACAGTCCCCGCGTTAAAGGGGAAAGAAGTATAATGAGTGCTCTGGCAGAGCTGTGTGTGCTGCCCCTTCTCAGTTGTTGGCAGCGTGCCTGGCTTTAACCAGCAAAACTAGTCCTTTCATCTTCACATTCAGCAAATTTGAGGTTGTGCTCTCCTTTGGAAGCCAAAAAAAAAAATAAATCCACTTTTTCCATATATCTTCGTTTTCTTTAAGTCATTTATTTGGCCTTTCCAACTTGCACAGAGCTCCCTTGCTCCCTCTGTACCCCCGAGCTGACAAACGGTTCACGCTCCGCGGTCACAGCAGCGCTTGTGTGCCCAGCACCCCACGGCCACGGCTGCACCTGCTGCGGCCAGGAGGCAGGATCCAACGTCGCTGTCTGCTGCCGAGTGCCTGAGCTAGCGTAAGATTTGGGTGACGAGGACACCAATAGATCACCAGATCCATAAATACAATCTCAAAACGATCTGAAACTACCTTTCTATTGGGATTAATAGTACGTACGTGTGGCGTCTGCCAGCAAATTTGTTTCAGCTTTCTTCTGTGATCCCTGAAATAATTTTGTACGCTTTGACCTGCAGGTGCTGGATGTCAGCAAGGAAGGGAAGGAAGAGGTGTTCTACGGGCCTACGCTCCCCTTCGCTTCCAATGGAATAGCAGCATGCTTTCTTCCAGCTCCTTATTTCACGTGCCCCAACCTTCAGACCCTGCAAGTGCCTCACCACAGGATCAGCGCAATGTGAGACGAGGAACGTGCACTTCATAAAATCAGAAGTGGAGGGGCAAGGGGGGTTGAAATCAAACCCTGCGTATAGAAGGATTTCTCTGGACCAGCGAGAAGAATCAATCCACACGGGCTGCTGCTTTACCTTCACACATTTGTCTTAAAAGTTGGATCACCATAGGCAGGAAGGAAGCTACAGCCGCTGTCTGCGGTTTCTCTCCTCCGCCTCAGTGCAGAAGCACACACGCGGGAGCGTTTGGCATTTCTGCTGGTGAGGACTTGCTACCTGTCTCTACTTCATTTCCTTATGCAACTCCATAAGGCGTTGTGAATGCCCTCGGCTCCTCCTCGGCTGCTCTTCTTTGGAGTCTGCGCGCTCAGTTGTTCACCAACGGCACTTTCAAAGCCGACAGAAAGCTCTGCTTATGTTGACAAAGATGATATAATACTGTGGTAATTATGCAACTTACTCTATACCTTTGGCAAAAAGAATAACAAATGTGTTGACTTCCAATTCCAAACTCCATCGTTTACAGTTTCTCATTTAATAATACTGCATTTGAAATTTAAATACTGCAAAGCAGATTAAAACAAAAATAAAAACCAAACAAGCCCTATAGTATATGAGGAACAGATAAAAATTGTCTCAGCTGAAAGACAAAGACACCGAAGCCTCATGCCCCAAGTCTGAACTGAATGTGTTTGAGAATCTAGAGATGGTTTGGGATGTCGTTTACCAAGGTCTACTATCAAATAAATGTTACCTTCTGTCATATGATCAGTTCCTCCTGACAGCTGCAGCCTTTTAATGGTGGAGAACAGCCTCTTTACTGTATAATTAAAATGTGCCATTTACTTAATATTTTTAATATCCAGTTTGCAAGGGGTCACCACATTTACAATTATCAACGAACAGTCTCATTTTGTCCAACATATGGTCCCACAAATCACTGGTCTCCAGAGGCTAAACAGGTGTAGAACAATGTCAATATTTATTTATTTATGCTTTCGGTTTATATAGCGTGTCTCCATTCCCTACTGCAGGCATATGCCAGTTCACAATAAATACTCGAACCTGTTATATTTTGGCTTTGCTTGGCTACTGCAGCCCCTGTCTCTTACTTCCCGGTTTTATTTACATATCTAACAACAACTTCGATGTTTGTAAATATTAACCAAGCATGTAATTAAATCTTTTTCTATTTATGATTTATGGATACTATGCACTTCTCTGCTTT